TCAGCTCTTGAGGCGTAATAATTTGTCCTAAGTTTAATTTTAAAAAGGCAGACTTCGGGGCCTCCCTGGTAGCCTAGTGGTTAAGTCGCAGCGCCATCACCACCACGGCCTGAGTGCGCTCTTGGCCAAGAAGCTGACCCACATGGCGCAGCAGACCTCTGCTGTCTCCCCGCTGCTCCCCTCAGCAGTGGATTTCAGCGGATCCGCTTGTTCTGCTCTCACCCCCTCTCCCACACTTCTGGCCTGCACCCCTGTTCTATGCAAAATAAATATATACTTAAAAAAAGATTTATTTATTCATGCATACAAGAACTGGGGCCAGAGGTGCGGGGGGGGGGTTAAGAGGAATCCCCAGAGACAGAGTGGGGAGCATCTGCTGAAATCCACTGCTGAGGGGAGCAGCGGGAAGACAGGAGAGGTCTGCTGCGCCCTGTGGGTATTTCCCTGGCCTGGATTGAACTCAGGCCTCAATAGCTGCCAATAGCTTATTAGTGCTGAGACTTCACCTCTTGTGCCACCAGGGAGGCCCCAATAAATATATACTTTTAAAAAAAAAAAAAAGACAGGCTTTAAATTACTCACTAAATCCACTCTCAATCTAGTTAGAAAAAAATGTGCACGAACACTGAATAGGCAATATTACCTATCAAGCCTTAAAGGTCGTTTAACAGTTTGCAAAGAAAACTGAGGGATCACCCCCCTCCTTCCTCATCCCAAATGTATGTGCCCGGCAACCTTGGTGAAACCCGGGGCGAGCCATCTCTGCACGAAACCCCAGCACAGGGAGGAGCCACCCGTGGTCACCCGTCCACGTGCGAGCCTGACCCTGGGCTGGGCCCCTGCAGGATGCCGGTGACGAGGGCCAGGCCCATCCGCTCCAGAACAACGTGGTGCTAACTGGCTGCGCCTGCGGGGGCTGGTCCCAGGCCTATTGGGAGGACGGGGCGGGGATGCCAGCCTGTGCGTGGGGGGCGCAGTCGCAACCCGCACGCCCGTGAAGACTGTGGGTGGAGATGGTGAGCGTGAAGGACTCGGGCGTGTTGGGCTGCGAAGGGGGCAGAGGCGGGCCGCCGCGGCAGGAGGAGACCCTCAGATTTGCAGGAAACCTCTGGTGGGGAGGGAGTGGCTGGAGGAGGCCCTGAGGGTGGAAGGTGCCAGAAGGCAGGCGGCGCTGGGCGGGTGGTGAGGCAGCGGCTCCTCCCACCCAGCGGGTGGCGACAGCAGGCAGGCTGGACCATCTCCCTGCCACCCTGCCAGCTTCCTCTCCACACATGTTGGACAGCTGGTCACAGGGTCCTGGGGAATGTGGGGTGCAGGTGTCGTGGGGGGCTTTCCGCTTGTTTGACCAGTGTCTGTGCTGGCCCTGCGTCAGCCCTAAGCAGCGGCGGGTCTCGGGCGTTTGGCCTGGCAGACACCGTGGGTGTCGGCACCATGGATGGTGATGCCACTTCGGTCGTGTCACGCCCGGGGGAAAGGAGAGTCCTGCCTGCGGGGACCCTGGGCCTGCGGGGAAAGAAGTATGGGAGCTAATGTCCCAAGGGGAGGGAGGCCCAGGACGGGAGCCCGAGGGCTGTCTGCTTCAGTCTTCCAGTTGGCGGCTTCCCCAGGGCCTGACGGCTGGCCCGGGCAGTGCGGCTGTCAGACCCGCTGTTGGCACTGGAAGCCCCACGGAGCCCAGATCTCACTTGCCGTCCTGGTCTGAACATAAGCGCCTCCCCCCGGACACTGACCCCTGTCTAAGGCTCCAGTGCTGGGAACTCCCTTGGGGGGAGGGCACCGCTGGCCTCAGCTCTCACTCAGGAGAGAAAGGCTGTGTCCCCAGCGCTGCCAGGACACAGCTGAGCGCCCCGGGCAAAAAGCCAGCAGCTGGGAAATAGAAAAAAGTATTCGGCACCAATGTTCTGCCCAGTGCAGACCGGGGCGCCTGGGAACACGGTGAAACAGGGAACATGCTGCAGAGCAGGACCCCACAGGAGGGGCAGCATGGGGCAGCATGGGGCAGCGTGAGCACAAGAAAGTGTGCGTGTGTGAGGATGTGCGTGTGTACGTGTGTGTGGTATGCATGTGTGTGAGTGTGCATGTGTGTGAGTGTGGGGGTGTGCATGTGTGAGTATGCATGTGCATGCGTGGGAGCATGCATGTGTGTGGTGTGCATGGGGGTGTGTGTGCGTGTGCGTGTGTGTGGGCATGCATGCATGTGGGCGTGCATGTGCTTGTGTGTGTGTGAGATAAGAGTTATCAGGTCATACTGATACTTTTTAGACACAAATCCTAAAATACAGCTTTGAATGTGTGCGCTACAAGAGTTTTTATATTCTTTCAGGTTAAAATCAATTTCAGATTGTGATTATTTACATTAATGTGACTTAAAAAAAACTGAGTATGTTCCTTTGTCTTAAAAGCAATTACATTTAGCATTATTTCTGCAAACAGTGCTATAAAATAGGTAATAATGGCATGTGTAAAATCCTTCTTGGTTTCAGTTTGTGTAAATTACTAGATGTGATTTGAGATCTTACAATGTGATCTTTTATAAGTGGAAATAAAATTATATGGTGAGGTTGCCTGTAACGGTGATCACCAGAGGATGTGATCAGTGTGAGTGGAGAAGAGCGAGGCTCTAACTCTTAGTCCAAAATAGTTTCTACCCAAGACCTGGTGAGGCGGAGCTGCACAGGTCAAGACAGAAAGTGATCCGTTTACCAAGGTTGAGATGGGAACCTGGTGGGCAAGTGGCATCTGAGGCCAACTGTGCCCATCGGTCTCGCAGTGGTGGGACAGGAGATGCATGAGGACAAGACTTTGGGGACATCTTTCAGATAACTGCCTGCCATCACTGCCTCCAGAATCTAAACAGATGTTTGCTGAGTAGTTACATGAATACATAATGTGGAGAGGATGGATGGAGAACGTGTGGGGGGCAGGTGGATGGATGGACGGAAGGATGGAGGGTGGATAGATGGATGCCGGATGGATGGATGGGCGGGTGGGTGGGTTGATGCTGGATGGGTGGACGGAAGGATGGAGAAGGGAGTGTGGACGGAAGGGCGGCGGGTGGAGAGCTGGATGACTGAATGAGTGCATGAAGCCACCAAAGCAGCTGCTACGGAGGCAGCTCCGTTGACAGAACGGTGCACATAGCGTGTGATCCCCTGCCGCGGACCAGCACTGCAGGGGGAGGTGCAGCAATCCCCCATCCTCGTTGCTGGGGCGTTTGTCCACAGAACCCGCCTCCATATGCATTGAGTTCAGTTGCTCTCAAAGCAACACTCAGGAATTGAGTTCCCTCCCTACTGAATGGGCCCCCATAGAAAATGCTCCAAAGGCCCACGTGATGATGCAACCATCTTAAATATTTCTTGAAGGGTTAAAGCAAACAAGTCTGTCCCCACCCCAGCCTGAAGGTGAAACCAGGACTGAGGAGTCAGGCCGCACATGATGCAGGGTCTGAAAGGACTCCCTAGTAACCTAAGGGCCTGGGCATGGAGGGGGTGCGCGGGAGAGCGGGCTCGCCGTCCAGGGTACCTAAGCAGTGGCCATGCAGATGTGCCAGGGCCATGATGCCTGCCGTGCACCTGAGGTCCCTCTGGTCCCCAGGGCGCTTTCAGGGATGTACCATCCAGCCATCTCCAGAAGCATGCTAAGGCCTTACTGGCCATGCACACTTCCCTGATATTTGCATGATGGGACAAAGCAGGGTGTGGCCCTTGCACAGGGGCCAATGCAGAGTCCGCAAGTCAGCGCCATCACACTTGCCCACATCTGCCCCCTCAGTGGCAAGCCCCCCGGACGAGTCCTCAAGGGCACAGAGACACGGCAGTAGCAAGAGCCAGCCCTCAGATGACGGCTCTGTAAACCGCTGCGGGTGACGTCGAGGGCGTGTGGAGGCCCACGACTCGGCAGCCCTTTGCTGTCCCTGTGGGGGGGCGTTGCCAATGGCTGGTCAGACCCCACGCACCCTGAGCCAGATTTTCTGCTGACACTTTAACCAAAACAACATATTGCGCGCAGACTGAACGCAGGGCGGAGGTGAGGACCCAGCTGATGTCCATCGGCCGGACACGAGACTGCAGAGGTGCGCGCGGGCACTCCCCGGGAGATGCTTTCATGGGGAAATACATTATTCATTTTTGTATGTTATGTGAACATGTAAAGGGTTATTACTGTGATTTTTAAATTCAGATGTATATTTTAGAAATTTCTCAGTTTTAACACAGCACAGTAAATCTCGATCGTTATAAAACTCTCATAAACAAGAGCTGTTTGGGATACTCCAAAATTATTGAGCGTGCCCAGGGTCCCCGAGGCCACAGGTTAGAGAACCACTCGCAGAGACACTTTAAACCTGGCAGCCGCCCTCGCCCCTCAAGTCTGCACACGTCTGTGGATTAATGGCGCCCCGGCCACGCCCCGTCTTCCTTAGCAAGCGTAGTGCTCTTCCCAGCCCTTTCTCTTACAGATATTAATTGCATAGCCCTCCCGAAACTGTAGATCCCAGCATTAAATCTCAAAGGCAGCTTTTTAAAATGCAGAAGTTATGTGGCTTGCAGGAGAAGGAATGCCATTTGGAAGCTTAAAATACGCGCGTGGATTCCACAGACCCTGCTCAATGTGTCACAGCAGCAACTCCCTCCCTCTGTTTAGTTTCAAAACCCTGTGTTTATCCTAAACTTTAAACAGGAAGAAATGATTTATGCTTCTCTCTTCATTCTTAACTCAAACACAGAGTATCTCAATAGTTAAAGAAAAAAAAAAAAAAAAGGAGGAGGAAGAATCACAATTTGTTGTAAAGAGGGCTACGTCTGCCTCGGAGCAGTCACCTACCGAAGGAAAACTGCTCCTGCCTGTCCCCAGGTCCTCTGCTCCTTGTCCACGGCCCACGGGGCCACCCCCACGCTTATAAACCATCAATCAGTGGAACGAACAGAAGCAGAAGCAGCTCGTGGGGGAGGGACCACAGCAGCGCACTCACTTCTGTCTGGCCTTTCTCTTCTCCACAGGAACTTAACTGGTGATTTCCCCCAGTACCCTGAAGTCGAGGAAGGAGGTTCAGCTATTATTTTCTCCAACAAGACCCCACAACAGGTAAATGATGCTTGAGAAGCAACGGATGACAGCTCTTTACTCGGCCCGCTCCTAGTCTCCCCCTGTTAGCGACTGGTTATTTTCCTACAAAGGTGTGCGTGGTCATACTTGCCATGTTCATCCGTGTGGCACTTTCTGAGTCATTTAAAATGAACCTGTCCTTGCTCCTTTCTCACCATCGAGAGATGTGACCGCGTCTGGCAGGCATCTTCTGAGATGGTTCTGGGCGGCTCAACCCCAGGACCCTCCATGTGCCATCCCTGCTGGCCTCTCGGCCCCTCTCTGATGCCCCTTGCGGATCATCATCGCACCATCAGCTCCAGCAGCGCCCTTGCTCCCCCAGCACCCTTGCCCCCCATGCCCGTGTGTCCTGCTGCAGCCCCCAGCCCTCTGTACACATCACGCTCACGCTGACATCTGTGTCCAGGCATCCTTCCGCCTCCTCCGTCTGCCTGGGTCCTGCTCACCAGCAGGCTCAGTCCTTGCCATGTGGCTGCTCCTGCAGAGCAACGCCATCTCATCATGTGCATCGACGCTCTGGTGGTACTGGATGAACCTGCCTTCTGGGCTGTCTCAGAAATGTCTTCAAAAAATAGAAGTAGGAAGCTCTCGCTCACCTCAGAGTGTTCATCACAGAAAGTAGGAGCTTCACGTTGTGCTCAGCAAGGAGAACACAGCAGTTGCCATCAGAATTACTGTCACTACTTCCCTGCAGTCCTGACAAAGCAATAACACAAGAAAAAGAAAAGAAATTATAAATATATAAAAGTGATCGTTTTAACATTATTTTCCAATGATGTGATTATCTTCCTAGAAAATCCAATAAACTTAACAAGAAATTATAGGTAGAATCGTCCAGAATTATACTGACAAAACTTTGTGGAAGAAAATGAAGGGAGGTTTGAACAAATAGAATGATGGATCATTGCCCTGGACAGAAAGACTCAGTGATGCACATGATATTTCTGTTATTCCAATCCAATCAAAAATTATATTGACAAAATTATGCTCCCATTTATATGGAAGAATGAGAAGGTATGAAAATACCTACACAGTTTTTGAGAATGAACTGTGACCGATGGAACACACCCTAGTTGGTGTAAATCAAATTATAAACATAAATTAAAATATCATGGTTTGGGGGAAAGAACAGATAATAGCAACAACAGAAAACAGCATCACCTGTTCATGAGGGTAGCGTTTATAGGACAAATATTCCGTTTCAGGTCCTATGAACCCACTTTCCATCAGCCAGCTCATTCAGCCCTCCCACCCTTGAAGATCAAGCTGTTTGACCATAGTAACCGTCCATACGTTGTGGGACTGATGTCAAAGCCAAGTAGTGTGGATAATGTATTCAGAAAGTAATTCAGGTACAAATTCAAATTCAGTAGTAGTATGAAGCCAAGTCAGAAAAGTAGAATGAACTATTTAAGAAGAAATATTGGGACAGCTGGCTCATGACTTAACAGAATAAGCAGATCTTTACCTCCCTTACTATGCAAACTAAATTTCACATGTGTAATTTACATGTAAAATAGTAAAACCACAAATCACCAGAAAAAGTCATTTGAATATTTACTAATAGTGGGGAATAATTTTCAAATCGTTTGACCTATGGAGAGAATAAGTTGATATATTTAACTATAAAGTTTCAAATGGCAAAAAAAAAATACATCATAAATTAAAGTCATATGATAAACTAGAGAAAATATTTGCAATACATGACATTAGGTATTTTTCATATATAAAACATTCTTAAAAAATAATAAGAAAAATCTGAAGACCTCAGCAGAAAAGGAAGCAGAAAATGTTCATTTAAATCTTACTGCCAAAGAAATTCAAACATTCACCTCTAGGATTTGTAAATTTTTGAATCATGGCAATAACTACAGTTGGGGAGCAAGTGGAAAAGGTCACTCTCATACATGCTGCTGGATATATAAATTAGCCTGGCCATTTTTTGAGCAACACGGACCAAGTAAATACCAAAATGTTTAATGTGTATACCTTTTGGCTCATCAATACTATTTGAGGAATGTTTGCTAAAAATGACAGGAAATCTTTCTACAGAAGGCCAACCAGTAAATATTTGAGGTTATGAAACATATGTTCTCTCGTAGCTACTCAAATCTGCCATGAAAGCTGAGCACGGACACTATAATTGAATCGGCATGGCCGTGTTCCGATAAAACTTTATTACAACAGATTTGGCAGAAGCGATGTAATTTGCCGACCCCTGCGATGGATGGCTGAGAACACCGCTCATGCCTGCACTGCTTGTAGCGTGACTAGGAAGAAACAGGCTGCTGGTTGTCGGGCACTAGTGACGCCGCGGGGAGCGCTCTGCAGGGAAAAAGCAGCTGAAGGTCAGACTCGCCCTCCGTGTCCACAGGCCCCCGGGGGGAGTCCTCAGAGACGAGCCCCGGGTCCGCTCTTCAGGGCCTGCTCCTCCCTCCTCTCTTCAAAGCCTTCCCCGAGGACGCTGGTCCCCGATACTCCATAGCCGCCCGGCCAGGCCACCTGGCAGCCCACCAAGCCCTGCCTCAAGGGACTGTCATCGTGATTGACATTTTCACACTCCTACGTGTCGGGAATGTGTTCCCCAGCTAGACATCAGTCACCAGTGGTGTCTGGAAAACCCGCAGCAAGCGGCCAAACATGTTTCAAGTTTGTTTCAGAAGGTGATGACGGTCAGGCGAGCAATGCTGATGGCGAGCCTGCATCACCCGTCCCATCCAGGAGGATAGTCAAAGGACGGGAGGAAACTGGAGCCGTCGAGTCGATACGTAAAATAAAACCAAGGGGCCCCACATGGCAAGACCTGGAAAAGCAGATGAATGAAGCTCACAGGCGCGGCCGCCGAGGCTCACAGGCCACACGCCAGGCCTGCGGGCTGAAGCTCTGACCCTCTGCACGAGGGTGCTCCCGTGCGCAAATGGAGATGCGGGCAGCCCCCGCCTCCCTGAGCTGCTGTGACCCTCAGCCCCCCGCCCTGCTGTGTGCTTAGGACTTGACCACTGACATTTTCAGCATCTCGGAGGTTGTTACTACATGGGGGCGGGAGGGGAGAAGGCGGGAGAGGTGGGCTGAGCACACTCATTACACCAGTGTGCACAAGTGGTCAAATTTATATTTGTAAAAAGCAAAAATGATGCAAATACTTCACATGAAGTGAGAGCATAAGCTCGTTGACCCCAAATCCAAAAGGGCACAGAACACAAATAAGACCCCAGATGAGTGTCCCAGGGGCGTGTGCAGGCAAAAGCCAAGCAGACATCAGGGGAAACCAGCATTCAGCTGAGCACAGCAGACAAGCGGCGTTTACTCCGGAATCCAGGAGCAGCTGCTTCTGGGGGATCTGAGAACACAGGCAGCGTGTGATTCAACGCCCAATCTTGATCGTAAAGAACAACACAGAAGTGGAACGTGTGCAATCTTCTCTGATATAACAAAAGACTGTAGTTCAAAAGCCAACTTCGAGTTGAATGAAATTCACTAGGAACATTTCCACTAAGGTCATGAAAAACACGAAGACGGCTGCCCTCAGCACCGTGCCACGGCTCCGATCACGCGCGCCAGGCGTGAGAGAGCAAGCAGAGAAGCGGGAAGTGGATGGGAAAGGCAACAGCGCCTCTCGCAGGTGTGGCTGCCCCTGCAAAAGCAAAGAGGATGTGCTGGCCACGACCGGGAAGGGTGGTGGGGAGCAGCCAGTTGACACCGGCAAGCAATAGTTGGTGTGAGTGCAGGCAGCAGCCAGCAGGGAATGTAATAAGGCCATTTACAACCGCAGCAACCACAGCAAGAGAAAATAGCCAGCCACAGAGTCAGTAAATGTGTGAATTTCCACGTGAAGAAGTTAGAGCACTCTGAGGATGCAGTCAAAGGGATGGAAGAACTATCCGTGTTCCAGGGCGGGACACTCAACACCCCGAGCACCCCCTCCCCCAGACACCATCTTTAAATCTGTCTGGTCCGAATCAAAGTGCCAGATGTTGGGGGTGCGGGGCAAGAAGAAGGCCACCAGGCTGACTCTAACCCTTAGGAAAAAGTGAAGAACCAAGAATAACCAGTAAAATTCTAGAAACCACAGGCAATGAGGAGTCACAGTCCCTGCCAGGCGTCCACACGTATTACGAAGAGTCCATTTATTATGTGCCTAGAAAGACACATCATGGTGGGCCGCCCTGGTGGCACAGGGGTTAAGTCTCAGCACTATGAAGCTATCTGCAGCCACTGCAGCACGAGTTCAAGGCCCGGCCGGGAGCTACCCACATGGCGCGGCAGACCTCTCCTGTCTCGCCTGCTGCTCCCCTCAGCAGTGGATTTCTGTAATCTGACTGTTCTGCTCCCCACTCTGTCTCTGGTGAATCCTCTCACCCCCCACACCTTTGTCCTGCACCCCAGTTCTTGTATGCATAAATAAGTAAATCTTTAAAAAAAAAAAAAGACGCAAAGAATGGAAAATCAAGAAACAGACATTGATAATCCGTCTCATACCCACTAAGTCATCCGAAATCAGAAGGACAGGATCACAAGTGTCACCATACATTGCTGGCAGGGGTGTGAAATGCGGCCGTTGCTATGGGAAAAGTTTGTCAGTTTTTTAAAAGTCAAACCTAAATTTACCAAATGAGCCAGTGGTCCCAGCCTAAGGCTCTATCCAAGAGAAATGAAAATAGATGCCCATATGGAAAGTTTAGGCGGGAATATTAGTAATTGGAGCATTACTCGTAATAGCCAAAACTTTGAAATAAGTATCCATCACCTGGCAGGTGGGTAGATGAAATGGGATGTGCGGGTGGGTGGAATACTATTCAGCAATAAAAAAGGACGAGCTGCCACCCTGGTACAACATGGATGAACCTCAGAAAACATTGCAAAGTGAAGAAAAAGTGAAACACCAGACGACCTGCTGTACGATTGCGTGTCTATGAACTGTCTGGGCAACAATGTCAGTCTCTAGAGACAGAAAGTGGAATCGCGCTCGCCTGGAAAGGGGGGCTGCAGGGGAGAGGGAGACACAATGACTGGGAATGAAGGAGTTTTACTGGGAGGCTGGAAATGTTCTGAAGCGGATTGATGGATGGCGATGTTCACACTGCTTGGTAAATTTACTTAAAAAATGACTGGCCTGTATGCTGAGATGGGGAGCGTGTGGCATGTAAAATATGCTCAATGGAATGACACGTAAAAAGTGAAAACAGGCAGCCGGCCAGAGGCGGCCTTCAGCCCAGAGTTTGCCAAAAGGAGATGGCTGGCTTCCTCGGCAACGCAGTGCACTTCCAGCCTGGAAGGTCTCGCTGCAGTTGCAGAGCATGAGGAGAATGAATTCAGCGTTGGCTTCCAACCTAGCCAGCCGCGAAACACACCCTTTTGCAGGGAGTTGGCGGCACGCACGACACGCTGTCCACGTGTGTCGTGCAGATGTGGGCGCTCGCGGCCTGCGGAGATCTCCGTGCGCGTCCCTGCAGGCTGGCCGGGGTGTCTGGGTGAGCTCCAGAGAGCGGGTCTGGTTGGCTCGCAGCGGGGAAGAGACATTTCACCACATGCTCTCTCATCATTTTCGGGGGGCGTTCCAGGGACGTGTTTTATCTATCCAGAATATTACATCGATTACGTCAGGCTCAGGAGGAAATAAGCCATATGACTCGAGGCTCTGAGAGACGCGCTGGCCCATATGCCCACGAGAAGGGTCCGCCCTTCTCCAGCTGCTCATGTTTCGTGCGTGAGGCCATTCCCCTGGTCTTCACGGTCCTGGCAGCGTGCGAAGGCCTGAGAACAATGGGCAGCCACGACGCGGTTCCAGAGGCGGAGGCGAGGAGTGATTCCTGATTGCTGCGGACAGCAGGGCTGTCGGGCTGAGTTCCATCTGGAGACGCCCTCTTTATTCCCGAGTCACGGTGCAACACAGACCTCACCGCTCTGCTCCCCAGAGCTGCTCCTGGGCCTCACCCCCAAATCCTCCCTGGCTGGGGGGGGCATACATGCAAATATCAAACAAGCTGCACACGGTGCGGGGGCTGCCACTGCCCGGTGCCCCCCGAGTCCCAAGAACCCAGCGTCCCCAGGGCACCCGGGCCCAGGAAGGGCCGGCCTCTCCTTCCTCCCCTCGGAGACCCCACGGCGGCGTCCGAGCCCAAGGCACGAGGGGCAGGAGCCCCTGATGTTCCCGGGACGGGGAGGGGTCGGCCTCGAGGCCCAAGCTCGGCAGAGGGGAGACCCTGGGAAAAGAGTCCTCACTTTCCCGAACCGTTAAAACACTGCGCGGGTTTGTTTGGTGCAGGTCATCGAAGACATCATGGCAAACCAGGAAGAGCAGGAAAAGAGCACCAAGAAGAAGAAGGCGAAGAAGGAAAAGAAAACCCCCAAAAGGAAGGAAGCGAAAGCAGCAAAGGAAACAGCGAAGGTAGGGCCTGGGGTCCGGGCCGGTTTCTCTTTCTTGGGTTCTGCTGCCTTGACCCGGCGACACCGCACTGGGGGCAGCTGTCCCGGGCGTCCCGGGGCCCCACAGGCTGATGCCCCGCTCTGCCGGGTGTGCTGTCGTCGCCGTGGGGAGGGAGCGGCGTCCGCACACAGGCAGCTGCGCTTCCTCGCGTGATGGCTGCGCGTCCTCAAGGAGCCCCGACCCCACCATCTTTCCCCGGGGAGAGCTAAGGGGAGCTGCTTGGCAAGAGCAGAGAAACTAAACCAAGGCCAGATTAAGTGCAAGTAACAACAAGCCCGAGAAAGCTGCCTGTGGACCTGGGGCGGGGGGTGGGGGGAGCACAGTGGGGAGCACAAGGGCTTGGGGTTGGCTGGGGTGTCCTGGGGGAGGGGGAGGTGTGGCCACCCGCCTGAGGGGGGAGATCTGCATGTGAGCAGGTCACAGCGAACTGGCGCGAGGGGGAGGGAGGGGCACGGCTTGCAGACCCGCCTGTCAGCCCTCCGCAGGGTGCCCCGCCCCTCCCGTCCACGCCACCAAGGTCACCTCACGTGCGCCACGCTGGCCGTCATGTCCAGTTCCAAAGGGCACACCAGGGCGGCCCGTCCACCGTGGCTAGTCAGCTGAAGTCCACTGGACACCTGCAGGTGGAGCTGAGGAGCGCCCTGAGATGGGGATTGCGGGGGACGGGCCCACACAGAGGCCAGGCAGACCTGGGTGAGGAAGCTGAGGCCGCGGAGTGGGGGCCCCAGCGGGCGCGGCCGCCCCAGGAGACGCTCCTCCTTGGCGCTCCCTGCCCCCTGACGGCAGGTTTCCCGCACCGGCCGTGGCTTTGACCCAGCCGGTGGCCTTATTCCGCTGTTCCCTGCATAACCAAAGGAGGGAGCCCCGTACTGCTCATTTGGGAGACCCCCAACCCATGATAGGGATCTAAGGGGGGGGCCCTCTGACATCGCTTCGCGACCAAGGCGATCGGCCACCAATATCCAGATCGCTGGGCTCAGGCTCGTGGCCCAGACCCTCAGGGGCAGCCCCAGCTCCAGGACATGGGAGGTGACTGCAGGCGTGTGGGGCGCTTCCCCCCTCCAGGCAGCTTCACCCAAGGAGACCATGTCGTGGGGCAAAGACCTGGCCCTCATCTCCGTGGGCAACTCCAAAGGGTCTGCCTACCTGCTGGGGTCCCTGTGGGATCAGCTGACCACTCTGGCGATGGTGTCCAGCCCAGCTCCTGCCCCTCCCACCCGTGGGCGCTGCCAGGCTCTCTGCCGAGGTCCACAGGGAACGCAGCCCAGGAGCATGCCCATTGCCCTGCCATTCTGCTTGCACCCCCAAGATTCCAACCTGCCCCCACCCCTCCCCCTGCGCCCCAAAGGACAGCTCACTCGATACAGTTAATTTCTAAAATCTTCCTCTCACTCAGGAAGGTAATTCTGAGGCAGCACCTAACAACAGGGCATTAGAGGAATTTCAATTTTATCATAAGCTTCTCTCCCTCCAAATATGCTTGAGTGCGCCTGACACTTGCAGATTAAAATTCACTGCTCATCAGGCTCGCTCCATAAAAGCCCGGAACCATCCACCGCACAGCCGGGTCTTTGCTGAGTGAACGTGTTTTATTAACTTGCTATTAAAGAGTCACTTACTGATGAACAGTTTTGGACAAAAAGCAAAGTTTGAGCACGTCTGTCTGCATTTATGAAGTGGTTACACATGAAGGGGAACGATCCTTCAGAATCACCAGAAATGAATCCAGTCGTGACGATGACTGGCCTCTCCGAGGAACAGGCTGATGATGACGCCGTGCGGTCACCCGTGGCGCTGGCCTTCCCGGCCTGTCCACGCTCGGAGCCATTTTATCTCTTCCATGGGCTTTAAAAGTCTTTTCTAGAATCAGTCCTAAGACCAGTCCTGAGCACACGCAGCTCTTCGGTGCCCCCTGGGAGTGGCATCTCGCCTGTGAAAAGGCATCTAATGCCCCGTCCTGGTTGGGGGCAGGGCCGAGGGCAGCTGGGTTTGCTCAGCCTGATGTGCCTTCCCCACCCTGCTTCATGGGGGGAGGAGCCGGTGTCCCGCCTGGCCTGCGGGGCGCATCTCCTGCCCCACGAGCCTCCTGAGTAGAGGACTCCCTGCCCCCGCAGAGCCAGGACTGGCTTGGGCCGCCCTCACCAGGTAGCCAGGCGCTGACAGTCCGGCTGCACCAGGGAAGGGGGAAGGAGACCCCCAGTTTCCAGGGGGAACATACATCTGCCAGTCACAGGGAGGCCGGGAACCAGGGGTCGCCTGCGAGAAGTCACATCAACCGCTCCCTTAAAAAAAACGGAAATGGAAACAGCAGACAACCCAGCTCCCCGCCCCCCGCATCTGCCTGGAGCACGGGAAGCACCAGCTCAGCAGTGACGCGCCCTGGGCCTGACGCAGCATCACCCAGCCGCCAGCGCCCCGAGCAGCCCCGGTGGCCACGGGGAGGAAGCTGGGTCCAGCCACGCCACGGAGGACCCTCCAGCCGCCAGGAAGGAGGGGCGCTGCCGTTTGCAGCAAAACCAAGGGAATTCAGGGCGCTGAGTGTGGTGCAGCAGGTCGGAAGGACAAAGACCAGTGCTGGACACTGTCACGTCCACATCAAGGAAGGGACCACACAGACGGACTGACCACCCGCCGCCAGCAGACCCCGGCGCCGCGGCGAGGTCCCGGCTGGGCTGGTCGGAAGCACATGACGAAACAAAGGTAAATTAAATTAGAAAGCTGCAGAGAGGAAGGCCCAGCAGCGGACGGGAGGCAGGTCGGGGTGTTGTTCAGGGAACCCCAGGAATGCCAGCCGGGCGGGACCTGCGGCCGGAGGGGGCCCCACACGGAGCCCCAGCCCAGGGCCGCAGGCGCACGCGGCAGCGTCTGCACGCGGGCATGTGGATCCGCGCTCCTCTCTGAAAGCGACGATGAGGTCACGAAGCTGGCACGCGAGCCAGGAAGGGGCGCTGAGCAGGGCCCGGCAGACGCAGCTACGGTCGACTCTGCGCCGCCCCGGCTGTCGGGGCCACCCTCGGAGTGGCGCCGCGGCAGGCGAGCAGCCGGTGTCTGCACAGATGAGAGGACGCGCTCGCTGGGCGGGCGGAGACGATTCAGGCAGCTTCCCTCTGATGCTGAGCTTCTGTGGTCTGTCAGGACAGTGGCCTTTGTGGAATAAATCAGCGTTTTCGCAAAACACGCGACGTGGCTCTGCCGGCAGCCGGCCCTCCCTGACGGGGTCTGCCCGGCACACCAGCCAGGGCAGGGGCCTAGGCAGTGCTTCCCCTCCTCCGCCTGCCACGCCCCCTCTGTGGCTGACCGTCCACTAGGCGGTCACATCGTGCTCACCTGCCCACCACCCGCCGCACGCGCTTCTCTACCCCGTGGCCTCCAGCTGACATGGCCAGGTGCCCTCTGATGCCAGCCGGCCAGGGGCCAGGGCCAGGATGCCGCCTCCCACGGGTGATGGTCCCAGGGGGAAGAAGGGACACCGAGAGCCGGGCTGCTGGGGTGGCCGCCGCGGCTCCAGCCTAGGGTCAAGGGCCATGGGGCTATCTCTGCCGTGGGGACCAGGGCAGGAGGCCCAGGGAGCGGTTCCTGGGGGGACTCAGGGCCCCCAGCCCTGGGCTCTGGCTCAGAGCTCCTTCCGTGTGTGGCTCGGGGTGGGGCAGGCAAGCAAGAGGGGGAGCCGTGGAAGCCAAGGGCGGGGCAGCGTGCAGGCGGGCATCGGCCTCAGCGTCGGATCAGCAGAGACCAGCGCCCGAGAGGGGAGGCCGGGACCCAGAGGCCCTCCGTGAGCATGCCCCCGGAGCCAGTCTCCAGAGCCACCCGCGCACTGGCTGCGGGGCAGCCACAGCACCCCCTGCCCAGCTGACCCTCAGGACAACTGCCCGGGGCAGTGGGCAAGGGGCTGGGCCTTTGTCCGTAAGCCAGGAGCGTCCACGGGCCTTGCTGCAGCCGGGAGCTGTGAGGTGCGCCTTCTGCTGTCCGGTCTCGACAGCAAGCAAGGCCTGTAACCAACAACGTGTTCTTCTGCCCTAACAGGAAGAAAACCAGGGGTGGAAAATGTCGCCAAGTGCTTTCCTCAGTGCCATGGAGGAAGGAAATAACTTATACAAAGGTCAGTCTTCGAGAACGTCTGTGGGGCCGCGTGTCCCCGCCCGCCCCCAGGACCCGGCCGCAGCGCCTCGCCTGTGTCGGGAAGAACTAGGGGCCAGTCATGGGGGGCGGCAGCCCCTGACCTCTGGCCAAGGTCACCTGCTGGCCTCTGTTTCAAGTCTTTTGCGGGGGGCAGGGGTGAGCACGTCGCCGCGTGGATGCTGGGTCTCCACCCCGTGCCGTCAGCCGAGCTCTCCAGGTGTGTTTGTTTGAGCTCCGAAATTCAAATGTGTGAGCTCAGAAAACCAACGCCGGGCAGACGGCGAAAGGTTTGCGTCTTGATGGCCGGACCGAGTCTCGGGAGGCTGAGGCCCGGCCCTCCCACCCAGGGCTGGGCACGGTGGGCGTGCTGCGCTCTGGCCACCTGCTCTGCCTGCGCAGGCCTTTCCCATGTCCCCCGGCCACGACCAGAGCATCAGCCAGTGCTGTGGGCTGCACTACCCCCTCAGGGGTGACCGCGAGCCGGCCTCGCCCGTGAGTGCTGCGTGGCAGTTCCCGGAAAATGCAGAGAGAACGGAGGCCACATGCTCCCCAGCACCAGCTGCGCCCGGGCTGCTCTCCAGCCTGGTCCCGTCCGACAGCACCGGGGCTGCTGTTTGCCCCGTGGGTGATTGTGAGGCTGGCCCCGGCTTCTGCCACAGTAAACCGAGCCTTGGTCCCGGGAACCGTCAGGAAGTGTGACGGCCTGGATGTACACTGGGGGTGCACAGTAGATCGTCCTCTGCCCCACACGCCACTGGTGGCACCGTCCCCACACGTGAGCGGCCCAGCCGCGGGGACGGCACAGGGCGAGTGTGACGTCGGCGGGCGGGAGAGGAAGGTCAGAGCAGGTGGTAACGGGGTGTTCAGGCGGCCAAGGTGTGCAAGCCTTCCTGTCCCATGCCCATCACGTGATCTTCACAGCAGCCAGCAGAGGGAACTGCCCGCCCCTCGGGGCAGACGCTGGTGGGAGACCCGCTGTCATTCAAGTTCAGGACGGCCTCGTCAGCGCAGGGACTCACAATCAAAACACACAGTCACTCAACAAACATCCATGTTCTTTCGGGCGCCAGGCACAATGGTCCCTGGAGACACAAGAAGGCTCGTGCTGTCCCTGCCCGTGACACGCTGGACGTTGTAGTTGTTATAGGGCAGCCCCGATACAAAACGGGGTGCCTGACTGTGGGTCCTCACCCGCGCGCTTAAAAGGACTTATTAATGCTCTACTGCAGGCGCACGTGAAAGGTTCATAAAAGGTTTATTCACAAGGGAAGGGGAAATGAGGAAATGGACAGCTCAGGGAGAAAAGCGGGAGACAAAGTTTTAAATGCATCCTACCCGATCCGCCTATCTGGAATCCCAAATGGCGCTCTCAGAGCTGGCCCGAGCCAGGAGCCGTGAAGCCAGGAGGCGAGCGACAGAGCGAGAGACCCCAAGGCCCACGTGTCTGGTTTTTATACCAAACCTGGTTGCTTAACTCCACCCGCAGGTCCCAGCCACCCTCCCTTTGGTGGTGACGGGATTTGTCTTTCCCAGTGTCCTGATGGCTTTGGTCTGGGGTGGGGGTGGTGTCCACAAAGCCTGCATGGGATTAGCTCAGGACATCCATTCCCCCAACATAGTGGCGGGCGAGGCGGGACATTGGGGGCTCGTGTCCATCAGGCTGCAGCAGCAACATCCAGTGGGCCCAGCCCGGCATCACAGCAAGCCCAGCTGCAGGCCTCGAGCCTGGCCGTAGGGTGCCAGGGAGCTCAGGTGTCGGACCCAAACGGGCTGCATGTGTTAAGACACGACACTGTGGTTGACTTTACAACAGCCCTTGTTTGGTCTTTCTCTGCCTCCTGCTTTTGAGACAATTTTCCACGCCATCGGAACACATCAGGTGACCCACAGGGCATTTTCCCCAATGACCCCCGCCCCCAGCCCGTCCCGGCTGTCACGCCTCGCTGTCGGGGGCCCTCCCCCGATGAACGGACAGCTGGGGTACCTGGTGTATGTCCTCTGTGTGCTCCTGCTCTCACATCCGGGGACAGTGTTCCTGAGGGCTTGGGAGACCCGGCTCCCTTCTTGACTGACGCAAATATGTGAAGAAAGTAAGAGAGACGGCGAGAAAGGTGTGGGGAGCAGAATCCCGACTCCCCCGGGGTGGGGGAGTGAGGCGCTGGGTCTAAAGTTGCTAAGTCAAGAAGTCGCAGGAGAAGCATAATGTCTGGACCTTACGAGAAGAACAGAGACGCAGACGCTCCCTTGCACCCATCACGTCACAGCCTCCCCTGCGGGCTCTCTTCCTCTGGCAAGCCTCTCACACTCCCGCCTCAGGGCCCTCACACATTCTGTTCCCCTTGCCTGAAATGCTTGTCCCTTCAGGACTTCTCTGAGACCTGCATGGGAGAATGGTCGCCCCACCTCACCCCACACCCCCTAACTTTACGTCCACCTGACACCCATGCCTGTGTGTTCACCGTGCCCTGGAAGGAGACCCCAGGTCCACGAAGGTCCCCATCCACTCGCCAGGGCAGCTCCTGACCGTGCTCAGCCTCGATGAACCCGTGAGCTAAGGAATTTAGGAATAAACCAGACTAATGAGTAAATCTGCTTCCACTCACGGAAGGAGGGAGGGAGGGAGGCTGGACTGAACGCCCCCGGGGGTGTAACGGACGGGCAGAGGGAGACAGTGTTCTATTATGGTGATTTTAACACCCTCTGACTGTGTTTAACACACGCACGTGTATCACTTCGGTGAAAGCAAAAATTAGTTGAGGGGAGTCTAGTGTTCCCGTGGGAAGCCAGGTTCCGCAACCTGCTGACCCAGCTAGGGAAGTTCTAGAAGCTCTAAAATCCACCCAGGCCGCTGGGTAATCTCTGTTTCCACTCAGGCTTAAAAAAAAACCCAAGCGTTGGGCCTTGGGCGCAGGGCCCCGAGGGTCATGTCCAGCGGGGCGCCCGCAGGCCAGTCATCTGCCAGGGCCGGGGAACTTCAAGAAATGCGGTGCCTCTCCTCAGAATTCTTTGCTCAGAATCAAAGCTTCTCCTTTTCAAATGAAACATTAGCATTTTAATCACTGAGATTAGGCTCCCACCCCCTCCCCTGCGCCCCCCAACGTGTGAAAGGGCCTCTGAGCTTGAGCTTTTCACTGCTTTTCAGGTTCTGGGGATAAAAGCTCATTCTCAGGGAGGGGCCTTGTCGCCCTCAGGCCTGAATAGCGCTGCTCTGTGAATGTCCTTGGAATTCCTGACGGGGTTGAGGAGGCCCCAGCAAGAGTGTCATGAGAACAGCAGCCACCGGACACGGAGCCGCCGCCCCCAGGGGGCTCAGCCCCCCCACCCCCACCCCAGGAGCCCGGTTCCAAGGCCGGTCACCCAGGATGGCGCCAGGGCTCGCTCGGGGCTGCTCATCAGCTCCTTGCTTCCCGAAGCCATGCCCTTGCCTCGCCCTCTCCACGGAGCAGGCGAGGGGGCTTGAGGGGCCGCGTGCCCAGGAGGGCAGCCTGAGCCCCGGCCAGGCCCTTGTGGCACAGCCAGGCCTCTGACGGGGTTTCCAGGGGGCGCTTCCAAGTTTCAGCACGTAAAGCAGCTTCGCGTGGGTCTTAGATCTGGAGGGTTCCCACTGCTGAAACCCACGTCCAGGAGAAATTCTGGAAAAGCAGCGACCTTCGCAGGAGGAGGGCACCGTTGCTTCTGCTCACACCCAGCCTGCGGCTTCCCCCGGGACGGTGCCAGAGCCAGCCCGCCAGGTTTCGTTGCCCGAGACCCTGCCTGCGTGGGAGTCACGGGCGGGGACACCTGCTCGTCATGCCTGATGGGGCGGAGGGTCCCCTCTGGTCAATGGCTCCTGGGAACGATTATTTAAAATAAGGATAAAACTTGAGCCGCCGCCTGCCAGCCACGTCCTGTGCGCCCGCTCCTGCCAGGCGCGCCCTTCCCTCCTGTGCCCTCGTCTTCACGCCCGGCTGCTCACCTGCCTGTCTGGGGGTGACACCCTGAACTTGGGTCAGACAGGCCCCCCATCCTGTCGCCCACCTGGCCGGGTGAATGATCAGTTCCGTGGCGTGGCCCCACCTCTGCGAGCACTTTCTGCCATTTCCTGTCCGTCTGCCTTGGCCACGGGAGAATCGGAGTCTCTTTGTCAGCCTTGCCCCAAGATGCCGCCTCACCCCGGGCCCCTTCCTGTCTTCCCGGCAGACCGTGGCCTCTGGGGAGGCCTCCAGCCGCCAGGACCTGCTGCCCGGGTCCACCGGTGGGGCCGGGCTCACGCCCGGAGTCCTGGACCCGGAGGCCTGCAGGCTCTGCCCGGCTGGCCCTTCTGCTGAGCCCGGGGCCTCGGGCCCGCTGGACGCACCCTCCCAGGGGGCGTGTGGCTAAGAGCCTGCCCTGCCCACCCCAGGAATCTCCAGGCCAGTCACAGGAGCGTGGCTGGGCCTCTGCCGCATCCTGTGGCCACCCACGCTGGTACGACTTGGGGCTGCGTCTCCCTCCCCATCTCCCCTGCGTGTCCTGGGCCACAGGCGGGGTGGAGGGTGGCAGCGGGGAGTGGGGGGGACGCCTGACCCTGATGACCCCAAGAGGACACGTGCTGCCCCCAGGCCACTTGCTGAGTGTGTTGTCAGGCGCAGAGTTCCTGCAGTAGCAGGCTCCCTGCCTGGCCCCCCACAGGGCACAGAGACTGGAAGCCCTACGGGTTGGGGCAGGGCTGAGCCCGGGGCTGTGCCCCTGCTGGGGTCAGATGCCACAGCATCGACCCCTTCCCTCCCCTAGACCTCCTGGGCCCGCCCCCGTGTCTTCCTCCTTTCAACCCTCTCCTGTGCTAACAATGCCTGTCCTTGGGGCCACGTAGAGACCCGGCCCCTCCCTTCTCATTTGCCGGGCGTGACTCTGCACCTCCTCTCTGTTTTCACGCTGCTGCTGCTCTCCTCACGCCCCACGCCTCAGACCGTCCCTGCGCCGGGTGGAAGCACGCGCTTCCGTCCAGCTCAGCTGCGCAGTCAAAGGACACGTGGGCCAGCCTCGGGGCCCCTGTGCCAGGGGAGGGGGAGAAGGCTGCGTTCACCGCCGCCTGCACCCAGGTGCCCACAGTCCCTCCTCCCAAGTCGGAGCCGCCCCCCAGAGGAGAGGTCGGGAGCCTCTGCCCGTGCCCCAGGGCCTCGCGGCCCTCCCCGCCCTAGTGGAGGGCGTTGTTGGCCGGAGGATGGGTCCGGTGGGCTGGCCAGGCTGCGAGGGGCGCAGTGAACCCCCGCCTGGCCAGGCGTGGCTCCCGGGGGAGGTCGCGTTCTCAGACTGGCACGTCGTGTCCCCCACAGGAGAACCCACGGGCCCCGCTGCCAGGCCCAGGCGTCTGCTTCTGGACATCCATTTGCAATTGCAATTCCCTTTCTAGAAACGAGCCGTATTTCAGTTTATTCCGGGGACACAGAATTGTGCTTTTTGCTCTAGAGACACCTTTCTCCCAACACCCCCAGCGCCGGGCCTGGCAAAGGGAAATGTAAACGCAGATGAGCTCGAAAATGCTCAAAGAGTGAATCAGACGTGGAGCCGCCGGCTTGGGGGCCAGGACCGGTCCTGGGGCGTTCAGTGTTGCCTTTCACGAGGGCGCCGGGCACCTTCCACGGAGTGGGCGTAGCAACAGGATGGTTCACATCTCAGTGAATGATGTGACTGATCCTGTTATAGGACAGGGAGAGGGGCAGCCCAAACCCCGCAAACCTGCCTATTCTAAATGGGTTCTGCCATCCGCCGCATCAACACAAAACATATGACACTTTAATGGGAAGGATCTTTAATAAAAACTAGGAAACAATACAGGTGAGGCAAAGAGTCTAGTTTCTAAATGAAGCACCCAAAGTTACCCGTCCCCTCGTGGGTAAAACTCCATCCATATGGGGTCGGCCCAGAGCAAGGCCCCAAAGCCTGCCACAAGTCTAAAACATCTTCCAGTGGGGACCCACAGAAAAGGGTCACAAACAACCGGACAAGCCCGGAAGGAAAAGAGCAAAATCAACATCCAGATAAAAGCTGCCATTGTCACCTCCCCACGGGTCTCACCCACATCTGTGTCACCCAGTCCATGACCAAAAGACAAGCGCAGTTTCTTTACATGTCTCTAGGCTCCATGCGCCTCCTCCAGGTCTCCTGGCTCCATCTTGCTTCCTTCCTCCGTCTCTTCCTGCAGCTTCTCCTTTTCCTGCTCAGCTCCACCCTCCCTTGGGTGGGGCAGGGAACCTCCCCCTTTCCTGGGGACCACCCTGTTACAATCCAAGCAGCATGACGCGACCGGCAAGACCAGCCGTCGGCACGAGCGTGATCCACCCCAAGAGGCTGTTTGCAGGGCTGCGGTCACACAGACGGGGAACGTTCGCACCACGCAGCTTTAGGGGATGCTTTCACAGCAGCTTTCTCCTCTGTTTCTCAGCTCTCCTGGCATGTGGCTTCCGCCGGGCAGTGGAGGGACACGGGTGCCCGTGACCCTCCAGCTTTCTTTATCCAGGCTTCGTTCCCCGCACCGGGCAGACGCCTGCGCTCACGCTCACCTGGTGACGGCCGCTTTCATTAACCTTCCCACTGAGAAAGGCTGTCCTTTTTCTCTCCCCTTCTGGAGTGTAGACATTTGGAAGAACAAAGATGAATCATGGAATTTCGCGCAGGGCCACGATCCCGAGCTGGTCAAAGAGGAGAAGCGGAAAGAGCTGGAGTCGGAGATACGGCTGCAGGTAGGCCCACCTGGCGGGGGTGCGGCTGCGGCCCTGGAACCGCCCGGCCGTGCTCCCCACGCAGGTGGTGGGGCGGGTCCCTGTCCGAGACCCACCCAGAACGTATTTCTTCGTGAAGAAAACACGGGGCATGCAAGTTTCTTGAAGGGAGCGTGTTTTGTGTCCACCTAGGTTGACGAATTGATGAGGCAGGAGCTGAAAAACCTAAAACTAGCCGTGAACAAAATAAAGGAAAACCCAGTCAAAGCCAAGAAGAAAGGAAATAAAAAGGTGAGCCCTGGAGGAGCATCAGGAGAGCAAGGCAGAGGGCAGATCCGCATCGTGGGGCGGGCCGCCTGCCCGTGGGTGGCCCAGGAGCGCTGCCCGGGGACCCCACCCTGCTGCCCCGGGGAACGCACCTCCTTCTTGCTAACTAACTGTTCTCCACTTGGCCCTGAGCATCGTGGGCTCCTTAGTGGGGCACACTCAACAGTCTGAGAGTAACCCCCCATCACGCAGACTCATCCCGGCCAAGCCCCATGGGTCGGGTGAGAACTCCGCCCCCAGGACCCGCCCATACCAGTCACAGAACTCACATTATGCAAAGCAAAAAGCAATAAACCTGCAAAGAAAAACAGACAAATTCACAATTAAAGCTGGAGATTCATCACCCCTTTCTCAACAATTAAAAGGAAACTAGACAGAAAGTCAGCAGCGATATTAAACTCAACAGTGCCATCAGCCAGCGTCTAAGCGACGCTGTAGACTCCACCAGCCAGCACACCGAACACGTTATTTCCCAGTGCCCACAGAGCCTTTCAAGACGGGCCGTGTCTCTACCATAAAACAAACTCCCTCAGACTAGAAGGACTTGAAGTCGTAGCCAGCGAGTTCTCTGGCTGCACTCTCTGTCCAAAAATGGAGTCAAACGAGAAATGACTAACAGAAAAAAAATAACAAGAAAATCCCCAAACACCTGCAGTTGCCCTCCCGGGTGCTTACCACACGCACACACTCAGAGGCCCGTGCACACTTCAACACCTCAGTGCATTCAAAATAGCCCCCAGCTGGGGCCTCCCTGGTGGCCTAGGGGTTAAGTCTCGGATCCCCGGCCGGGGAGCTACCCACATGGCGCGGCAGACCCCTCCCGTCTCCCGCTGCTCCCCTCAGCAGTGGATTTCAGTGTTCCGCTCCCCACTCTGTCTGGGGAGTCCTCTCAACCTCCCTTCCCCCACACTCTGGACTACACCCCAGTCTCTTCTACACAAAAATAAGTAAGTAAAATCTTCAAAATAGCCTCACACTGGAAACAACAGTAACAAGGACTGAGCTATTGATACATACACGAAAACAAGACCGAGACACATTTTCTGAGAATTTCTGTGAGTGAAAAGCAAAAAGAAAAAAATCATAACAAGTTCCTCCTATGATTCTGTTAATATAAAGTTCTTGAAAGAACAAAATTGTAGAAATGTAAGGGGGGGGTGGCCACAGGTGGGGGCCACTGCCACTAGGAAAGGGTGACCTGGGGGCTCTGCGGTGAAAGGGACGCCCCGTACCCGAGGATGCCCAGGCCAAGGCCGGTGTCCAGCCGTGGCTTGGGAAGGTGGCTGGACGGACCCCGGCGCCTCCGCGGGCTGCTGCTCACCGCTGCCTGGGAGTCTTCCACCCTCTCGAAGTAAAAAATTTAATTTTATAAAATGGGAAAACAAGAATGATTGATAGCTCTGTGCAGCCAGAGCGGATCTCAGGGCCCTGGCACTGACTGGGTGACGTGAGACGCGAGAGATTACGGTGCGAGCGCCCCATGGGCAGGGGAGACTGCATCCCAGCCCACCCCAGCCCTGGCCGAGGGCCCGGACGGCGGCGTGGCTGTTTCCGGCAGGGCAGCGTCCTCTGGACGTGGAGCCGAGTGGGGCCTCGGCCGCAGTACAGGTTAAACAGAGGCGTTGACCTGCAGTGGACGGGGCTTGCGAGCCCGAGTGGTGGGAGAGTGAAGCACACAGGAATGAGGATGTGCGGGGGTTGGAGGGGCCCACTGGGATGTCGGGAAAACGCCCACTTGGGTCCCGTGTGGGAACAGAGCCCCCGAAGGCCACCCCGAGGGCCCTGGAGAGCCCCCAGCGGGTGTTTGCACAGAGAGTGCAGCGGCCAGCGCTCCAGGAGCCCCGCACCAGGCCTGGTTCCAGGGACCCAAGAGCCCGTGGGGCCAGGCCGGCGGGTGCTCAGAGGAGTGACGCTGCCGGCCCGTCGGGATGGGGCCCTAGCTGTGGGGACCTCGCGCTCCAGCCCCGGGCACATGCCCCCCTCGAACTGGGCTCTTCCCGGCCCCTGTCCCCTTCGCCGCCCAGCGAGCGGACACAGGCTCCCGCCCCGCCAGGGAAGGCGTCCGCAGCCAGTTTCTAGCAATAATTGACTTCCTTGCTGCTGTTTCCCTTTCCTTCCAGAAGGCGGGGAAGAAAGACAAAAAAGGGAAGAAGGGGAAGGACAAGGATCTCACGGAGGACAGGTGAGGGGGGCTTGCTTGCGGGCGCACAGGGTGCTGGGGGCACCCGGAGGGCCGGAGGACACAGCCTAAGCCCCTGGCTGGGCCTGAGGGAGGCTGGTTCATGCACCCCCTCACCTGGCGACGGGCTGGGGCCTCCGGGGGCCACGTGCCACGCTCACAGGTGGCCCCGGACGGAAGGACCAGGTCGGGGCGAGGCCTGGAGGCCAGCCGGGCTCCGTCCCTTCTGAGGCCGTGCAGCGTTAGGTTGTAAAACCCATGGGGCTGCTGAGGACTCGCCTAAGAAACAGCATCCCGGCCCACCCGCGGGAGAAACACCGAGGCTCTGAGCAGCGGGTCGGCAGAGCAGGGCCACGGCTCCGGCTTCCCTCCTGGGCCGGGGCGCAGCCACGGGGCCCTCCTGGAAGCGTCTGGAAGGCGAGGGCGAGGCGGAGGGTAGACGGACGCGCCAACGGGTGGTTTTAAGGCCTCATTGGCTTGTTTTTTTTTTAAAGCTAAAACAGAACTTCAGTGCTTTAGCTTTTGAAGTAGATAAGACCTAGGTTTTCAAATATTTTCCAAGAATTGAATTAAAACACCTAAGGAGAGTGATGAGCAATCACCTGAACGTATGCACACGCCTTCCTCCCCGGGTGTGTGCTGGCGGGGAAGCCTGGTTCTCTCCTGGGAGGGGTGCCCCAGCCCCGCCCCCCTGGGTCCCAGCACCACCCCCTTGGGTCCCAGCACCGCTTTCCCGAGGGCAGCTGAAGAGGTCACGAGGTGAGGCCAGGGGGGAGCAGGCTGGCCCGAGAGCCAGCACCTTGTCTGCAGACCCCTGGCCAGCGGCCTCCGCAAGGGCAGCCAGGTGGGCCTGGGCTCAGGCTCGGCACAGAAACACGTCTCCCCAGGGGGACAGCGGCCGCTCCCCCCTCGAGGCGCCACTGTTTGGGGAGAGGGTCGGGTGAAGACGCCATCGCGGACTGCTACCTCCCCAGGCCTGGTCAGCGTCTGAGACCCAGGTGCCCCTGCGGGGAGGCGCGGGTCTGCCCGAGCGCCTGCACTGGCTCCTCGTCCGCCTTCCCAGGCCCGGCCCAGGTGAACACAGTGCCCGGTGTCCTCTAGCAGCTTCAGAGCAGCGCCTCCCCTTGTCTCCAAACCACTGCCTTTCAGGTGAAGAAGAAACACGAGGGCCTTATCCAGTGACACCCCGAGCTAGAGTCAAATCTGCCCGCATGTCTGCTGGGTCCCGATGACTCGCTCGCATTCCCTTGCATGTGACGTGTTGCTTTGCCCTGCGATAGATGCCCATGAGCAGCAGAGGGCACACATGGGGCTCGCGGGCAGTGCCGCATGCTGAGCATCTCCCGCACACGCCCCTTGACCACGGCGCTGTCACAGCGGACCGCAAGCAGCTCTCCAGTGGGACAGCGACCCCGGGAGCGCGCCACTCACCCCTGTGCCCGAGGTACCACAGTCCCTGCCACCTTGTCCCCGCACGACTCTGCACTTCCATTTTAAAGACTCGGTGTCGCCAGAAGAGCGCGGCCAGCCAGGACACCGGCAAAGGCTTCTGTTTCTCCAAGCAAGTGAATAGCAACCTGAAGTCAGTATTTCTGCCATGACTTAGGTAAAGCATTTTATTCCATAGCAAAAGCTGGTCTGGGGAGATCCAAACGCAGGCTTGTGTTCCAGGCTTCTCAAATGATTTTGCTTTGACTATTTTAGAGAATCTTCTGCGTTGCACTAATGCTGTGTGCACACATTATGTGTCTGGATTAAATAAGCATCCAAGTCACTTCTCGATACGGATCGAGCCTGCGCCACCAAACTCCATGACGTCCAGGCTCTACCGCCCCGCAGCAGACACGCTGTTGAAATCTGCCTGATGGAATAAAACTCAGTCGATCAAAGACCAGGGTCGTTGGTCTCACATCCAGGTCAATGGCATTTGGCTGGGGTCAAAGCGGTGGCCTTCAGCCCCTCACACCCACTCGCCTGCACCCCAGCGCCAAGCACATGTCGACATCGCCGTCCTGACGGTGGCTAAAGAGAGAAGGCCGGGCCCGAGCATAAAGCCCGCCCGATGCTCCGGGAGAATCACCCCCCGAAGGCTCAGCTGAGGACCCCTGGGCCTCCCACCTGAACTCCGGCTAGCCAAGCCCTACTTCATTTCCTGGGAGTTTCATTCATTAAGTGGGGCACCATCTCCAGGCCCCCCGGCGTGGGTACCGCCCTGTGCGGCCTGTCAGCCCTCTGTGAACACCTCCAAAAGTGTCACAGCCTCCTGAAGAATCACATGCACAGCTGCAGGGGGTTATCTCTCACGCTGAACTGTTTCCAGTCTAAGCCTTTGTTCTTCATGGAAATTTCTTTTAAACTATTACGCTGTTGGGTTAAAAGGAAACATCAATTTCATGAAGGATTAATGGTCTGCTTTGGCATGCAGATGCCAACCGAATGTGTAATTATGGGCCTTCCTATTACGGGGTAATTGCTAATTCATGTTTGTGCCGTCAGGAAGACCGATGAAGACAGACGCAGGCGTTACGGCGGGTCTCGGGGGCCCGCAGATATGACACTTGCTAACGGGGACAGCAGACGCGCCCACGAATGAGTCAAAGTATTGTTTTTAAAAAGCCTCACTTACCCCTAAATTGTCGACATGCTTCAAAAAACCATGAATTTGCCTACAGCGTGCTATGAGGCGGGTGGGGCCCTCCACGTGTGATGACCGGCGGGCCGTGCGGGGTCCATGTGCTCACAGGGGCCTGGTCTGCTCTCCCCCCAGGACCATCGAATCTCTGTACAAGGAGCTGGTGGAGGCGGGGCTGCTGATCCAGAACCCCAAGGTCAACCTCTCTGATTACATCGGTAAGTCGCAGGCTAGTGCCCTGTGTGTCCCTGGCCCCCTGCGCTGACATCCCACAGAAGGAGACAGGCTGCCCAGGCATGGCAGCTGGGGTGAAGGCTGGGTTGGATGAGCTGAGTAAGGGGGTGCTACAAGCTGGCGCTTCCAGCGCCCGCCCCTAATGTGGTCCAAGCAGGTTTCGAACCTGCCAGCCAGGTGTGGGGGGCGCTCCCGCTGGCCCCAGCCACCTGCAGGAAAGGAAGGTGCTCGGTGCTTCGTGTCTACGTGGATGGTTCTGGGAGCGGCTCGGGGACCCCACACTGTCCATCCAGGGGCCACGGAGGACTCCTCAGGGAGAGGAGGTGGGCGTGTGCGGCCATGGTCTTCAGCGAGCGTCTTCTCTTTATTCTATAAAGGCAACAGGACATGAAAACACACCCAAAGCTTAAGATGCCCATAGTCCACCGCCCTGGTGCCAGCACCATTCTCCCGTCACACCAGCCCCGCGAGCAAGCGGGTTCTCTCACGAGCCCACAGAGGGCTGTCCCGCCCCCAAACGTCCCGTGCGCGGACGCTGCTCCTGCACAGCAGACACTCCCCGGCTCCTCCCGCGGGCCAGCGACGTTCTCGTAGCTGTCCTTCTCCATCCCAAACCCCCTCCAGGGTCCTGCGCGGGGTCCGTTTGCATCTCTTTTCAGCCCCGGATCTGGACAGTCTGTCCCCCCGCCCACACCCCTCCCAGCCCCCCGTCTCCCGCGGCACGGCGCTGCTGTGGGGCCTGAGCTGTGTTCCAGGCTCAATTTGGATTTGCTTGGCGGCGTCCTGGTGGCTGGACGCGGGTGAAACTCTGGCAAGCTGTATGCAGAGGCCGTGCCTCGATGTTTCACATCGGGGCACTCAGCCCCCCAGGCCACATCACTGGGGGTCACCCAGATGCTCCCCCTTTGTGGCGGATCAGTGGTGGGGCGGGGTTGGGGCTCAGGTGTTTCTGTCCCAACCGTCTTTCGTGCAAAGGTCCCAGCACCCGCGCTGACGGCTGGGGTGCGGTGGGCTGTCTGTCTCCCTCTCTCGCCACCTCTGTAGGGAGGTTTCCTCTCTCCTTCCTTTTGAAATTGCTGTGGCATGGGGGGGCACGCGGCCCCCTTTTCCCAGCTAAGTGCGATCGCCGCCCCCTCCCATCCGCTCACCGTCCGCGTTGACCGATTTCGCCCGTGGAGCAGAAGGCTCTGGCCAGAGCGGGCTCCCTCGCTCCCTCGGCAGGAGAGCCAGGCCTTCCCAGAGAGCTGGGAGGAGACGTCCTGGTTCCCCACAGCCCCGGAGTTTACTGGGAACTCCGCTGGACCCCACTTGTTTTGTGTTTCCTGCTCAAGTAGGGCTTGTCCTGGACGCCCTGATCCTGTTCTGCCAGCTGTGGTGAGATGAGCAGCAGCTTAATTGGCAGTGCCCTCTCCGTCCTGGCGGCTGTGCCCGGGTGCCCTCTGCGCCCACACATCATGTTTGCTTGGTGCATCTCCACAGCCCTGTCCCAGCCAGGGCTCAGCCCTTGGCAGGGCCTCAAGATCAAGCGAACATGGCCCTCACTGTCAACCTCTTGTCCACCTTGGATGTTTCCCGTGACGTCTCCGCTGGTTTCCAGGGATCTGTAAGATGCCCGCAGTCAGGGTGAGTGGGGTCAGCCCCCGGGGCGACCCGGGGACAGTGACCCAGCCCAACGAGAGCAGCCAAACCACCCCAAGGGCTCGCTCCCCTGGTCTTTTCCACCTTTTCTCTCATTTTTTTCCCCCAGTTAAGATCCTTAGCTTCAGAGAGGAGCTTCCTAAATGCCACGTAAAAATAGGTGCCCCGCGAAGCTCGCCTGGGGGTGCAATAAATTTTCCCTTCCTTTGAGAAAGTCGGGCCTGGCTCTCCTTTTCTTTACCACGCCAAGCCTTTCAGATACCAAGAGCAAAGATCACAGGAAACATGTACACCAAAAAGAACAAGGTTTCCCCTTAAACTCCAAAGTACAGGCCACCAAGGAGGAGAACAGAAGAACCCCAAAATGCCTGCCAGGATGCACTGCAGAGCACTGCCCCCCCCAGAAAAGCTCAACTGATGGGGTGCCCCACCCACAGCAGATGAGGACAGGGCCAGACTGTGGACACCACAGGGTCACGAGAACGGGGCCCTCCACGCTTGCCCCAAGACAGGCCTTTCGCTAGGGGTGGGGAGAGAAGAAAAAATTGAGGGGGGCCAGGACCATCACACCTTTAACATACATGAGAACAGAAAAAGGGCTCCATGAAATTTGAAAAGCTGCCCTGACCTGAACCGAGCTTTCTTCTAAACTCTAAGAATGTTAACTCCCGGGGCCTCCCTGCTGGCGCAGGGGTTAAACACAGCGCTATCAAGCTGCTGCCAGCCACTACTGCGGGAGTTCAATCCCGGCCGGAGCAACCCACACAGCGCAGCAGACCTCTCCTGCCGCCCGCTGCTCCCCTCAGCAGTGTCCTTCGGTCCTTCTGCCTGTTCTGCTCCCCGCTCTGGCTCTGGTGAATCCTCTCACCCTCCCGCGCATCTGGCCTGTACCCTGGTTCTTGTAAAAATAAATAAATAAATCTTAAAAAACAAAAACAGAAGACTGTTAACCCCTGGCACTCTGAGCAGCAGAAAAATTCAAGGTCAGCGCTTGCTTCGGTGAAGTCACTATGGAAGGTAAAGAATGAGGAAAGAATTAGCATCACAAAAGGAGGGGCCCCTGAGGCAGATGGAGCCAGGGCTGCTCTCAGGCTAGAGGCTGATACACATTAAGAAGGGAACAGAGAAAGATCCCAGATGCTGTACCAGCCGAATTTATTTTCAAGTATCCAGCACCAAAATTCGTCAGCGTGCAAGAGCCCAGAACATTGTCCCCATGAGGCCTTCCGGAAGCGCCCACCACCAAGGCAGTGGACCCAGCGGCCTGCACCCAGCGGCCCGGCAGGACTGGAGCAGGTGAAGCTGCTGATGGGGCGGGGCGCGCCCCTCTGATGAGGACCAGGCAAACCCAGACGGGGAAGGGTCAGCACAGCCGAGAGCGCTGGCCATGGCCAGTGACCCTAAGAGATGGCCGGGGGGGTCAGCCCTGTGGCTGTGGGGGTGCGGTGACGCAGTGAGTCTGATGGGGGTACAGCTGGGAGAAGCTGCGGGTCCGCGGCCCTCCCTGTGGCCCTGGGGACTGGTGTTTTGTGGGGAGGAAAGGACACGGACCCGAGAGAAAACCTACAGTCCTGAAGTCGCCACGTGACGCCTGAGGTGTTCACTCTCCCCACTCTCTCAACACACACACACACACACACACACAAACCACACCACACACACCACACACACAACCACACCTGCAGCTCGAGGCCTGGCACCGGGGCTGTCCCTGCTCTCCTCCTCCGGAGGCTGCCCCCCTCCAGGGTGCAGGTCCTTCAGGGGATCTTTCTGTGCCTCGGTTTCCGCAGCAACGGCCTAGTGACGGCTCTGCCTCCTCCCACGGCTGGGGACTCGTGGACAGAGCCCGGAGGCCACGTCAGCTCGGAACTGGCCGTCGCCTCACTGTGGCGGGCGGTGGGCTCAGGGGCCCAGTGGAAGGACTGGCCCACGGTCCTGCCTGCACCTCCTTCCTGCCCAGTCGCAAAGATGCGGAGCTCAGAGGGCGGCCGCTCCGGAGGGGAGTCCGGGCTCAGGCCCAAGCCCCCCTCTTGGAAATGCTCCCGCCCTGCCCGAGCCCACGCTGCTTCGTGTTTCTTGACTCCTCCTTGGCGTTCAGCGTCTGAAAGACCAAGGGGTCCCCGGGTCCCCCGTTACAGGCTGTGACTCTCCTTTTCACACGCAGAGGCCTCGGAGCTTAAGAAGCCCATCATTTTCAGGCCTTGCTCCCTCCGCGTTCTCCTCCTGCTGCTGCAGGGGGGAAACAGACGCTCGCTGGAGGCTGATTCTGTCTTTAATTCTCAGGTTTCTGCCTCGCGCTGTTTCCGCTGCACCCCAAGTCCCCCCTGGCCATGACTCTCCTCCGGGTGCTTTTACCAGGACCCCTGGGGAGCACCGCAGACCGGGGGCGGGGGCTTCAGCAACGGAAGCTCGACTTCCCAGGGTTCCTGAGGCCTGGAGGCCCAGGTGGAGGTGTCAGCAGGCAGGGGTTGGGGGGCTGGGGGTCTCTGTTGCTTCCCTGCAGCCCCACACCCCTTCTGCTCCCCACCGCCCATCCCCCCACCTGCATGCCTGCCGCCCTCGGGCTCCCGGGGCCTGCGCTGACCTCAAGTCCAGGCATCTCTGCTCCCGCCTCAGACCTTCTCCCCCTTCTCCCCACCGCAGCACCAGTCCTCCTGGCTCGGGACCCCCAGAGGACCTCATCCTGACAGACTCCCCCCAAAACATCTCACGCTGAGATCCCCGGGTTAGGGTTTCAATGCAAGGACTTGCAGGGCTCCTGCTGCCCGTGACACTCGCCACACCTGTCCCCTGCCCTCCTGGCCCTCTCCCCGCCTCTGCCTCCCAGGCCCCCGCGGCCCTTCCTTCTCCCGCAGGCGGGGCCTGGTGTCCTCAGTGCAGGCGTCGACGTGGGGGGGATGTGCCCCCTCACGCTCAGGACTCTCCTCGCCACGCAAACGGCCCGGCTACTCGCCCTGCGCCCCGCGGACCCACGAATGTCCCCTGATGCCATCTGTCCAAAGAAACCCTGTCCGGTTCTAGAAAACGCGGTGCATGTGGGATCCGGACGGGCTCGCCGAGCAGGTCCTTGGTGTCTCCTCTCGTGTCGTGTTCGCAGCCGGGCTCCGGCTGTCCCGCGGCGCCGCTCTCCACTCCGGGGAGGGGATCAACCATCTTGTCTCCACTACCCGCTCATCAGCGGGTGCGCCGGGGCGCGTGGACACCTCATCGGCGCTCAGCCTGCCCACCGGCCCCGTCCTTGCCAAGGACTTTGCTTTTCCACACGAGCCTGCGCGAGGCGGCCCCTGCAGCCGAGGCCAGCCCTGCCCACGTGCACACGCTCGGCTCGCTCACCCGCGGGAACCCCTCGGAGCTCTCGGGGTTCACAGAGGCACGGCCCCGCCATCTGCTCTTGCGGCGTTTCCAACTTCTCATGGGTGCGCCGGGGTGCACGGGGGACATCGAGAGCAGCGCCCAGGGGGTGAGAGCAGGAAGGGGTGATGGCGACGCCGTGGGTCGTCCGTGGCATGTTTTCCTCAGACGCAGGGACAGCTCGGGGCGCGCCAGCCACGGCCCAGCCACAGACAAATGGAGGCCGCCAGACTAATTTCCGTGGTGACCTTATCTAAATTAGTTAGAAAATAACACTTCAGATTTATGGCGAGTCACAATTAAGCCCTTTGATGCCTTCTAATTAAACCTGTAGAGATTTATTTCTGCATTATTCCTTTGGTGATCCTTTAAAAATGATAAAATGGAGATGGATATTGCCCTCCACAGGAGCTGTTTCTATTTACGCTAAATTAGACTCAGACCCTTCCTCTCAAATGCCACCCTCAGGTTCCGCGTCCCCAGCGCCAGCACAGATGCCGGGCGCAGCCTTCAATCACGCGTTTATAAAGTCGGTGCAAAGGTTACACGCCCTCTCTGGGGAGAGAAATCAAACAAACCTGCTCTGTCCACGTCGTCCCCGGAGGTCCCCCAAGGTGGAACTTCACACACAGGCACACCCCACCAGTCCCCCCCACAGTCACACACCTACAGTCGCACCCACAGTCGCATACCCTGTCACACCCCCACAGTCACAGCCCCAGTCACACCCCCAGTCACACCCCCAGTCATACCCCCAGTCACACACCTATAGTCACGCCCCCAGTCACACCCCCAGTCACACACCTACAGTCACACCCACAGTCACACCCACAGTCACACACCCAGTCACACACCCACAGTCACACACTCAGTCACACCCACACACACCCACAGTCACCCCCACATCACACACCTACAGTCGCACCCACAGCCACACACCCTGTCACACCCCCACAGTCACACCCCCAGTCACACACGCAGTCACACACCTACAGCCACATACCGTCACACCCCCACAGTCACACCCACAGTCACACTCCCAGTCACACACCCACAGTCACACATCCACACACACTCACAGTTACCCCCATAGTCACACACCTACAGTTGCACCCACAGTCACACACCCTGTCACACCCCCACAGTCACACACCTAGTCACACACCCAGTCACACCCATAGTCACACACCCAGTCACACCCATACACACCCAGTCACATACCCACAGTCACACCCAGTCACACCCACACACACCCAGTCACACACCCACAGTCACACCCAGTCACACACCTATAGTCACACAGCCAGTCACACACCCACACACACCCAGTCACACACCCAGTCATCACGGGGTACTTTTCATGCTCAGAAGTCAGCAGCAGCCGCGGCTCAAGGCCTGGCTCTGCAGCCAGCACACACCCACAGTCACACACCCAGTCACACACCTTCGTGCTTTCATGGCTGGACTGCCCGGCCTCCTTCAGAGGGACACCAGGAGACAACCCTGGCTCACAGACGTTGCACCTGCATTCCCGCCCGTTCCCAAAGTGCAGCCCCGACGCGCTCCGCTGACGCTCTGTCTCCTCCCCAGGCGAGTACTGCTACCTGGGCACGACCCTGCGCCAGGTGTCCGTGGAGCCCATGCCCTCCCTGCAGGACATCCGGCAGCTCATCACCTTGTATGGGATCCTGCCACTAGGTAAGGCCCGCCCGGCAGCTCGCTCCCCCAGCAGGCGGCCCTGGCGCACAGTACGGCCGGCTCGCCCCGGCTCGCGTGAAGCCTCCCCCAGCCCCCCGCCCTTCACGACACGACCCCATTCTGCTGGTTGCCTGGAGGCCAGCTCAGACCCTGGCAGCCCAGCCTAAGCGCCCATCCCCCCTCCCCACCCGCCCCCCAAGTTAGAGCTCACTGACTCTCCGGAGCTCTGTGGCCCTCACGGTCCCGGCACTGTCCGCCTCCCGGCCCGTGACCTCGTCCGCGCTCGCGCCTCCCCAGCCCGCGACAGCAAGTCCTGGCTCTCTCCCGCCTCTGGGCCGGGACCCGCCAGAAGGCAGACTGTGCCCTCCTGAGCGGTCCCTGCACCCGGGACTCGGTGGGCCCAGGCTTGGCACCGCTCTCCCTCTGCGTCCCTCCCCCCCGCCACGCCGCCATGCCCCTCGCCACCCAAGTGGACGCACCCACTCAGCCCCACGTCACAGAGCCGGGGTCCCAGGCTGCGTTCTGTGGGGCGTGGTGAGTGTGGTGAGTGTTCCTCGCTGTTAGGGGAAGGCCCTGACCTTCTCAATCACGCGAGGAAGAAGGCACGCACAGTAACAGCGCGACACCCACCTGTGCACAGCGGGTCAGGACGAGCCCAGTAGTGACCCACGGCAGCGAACATGGCGGCAGATGCTTCCGTCGCAGCACGCTCGATGCCGAGAATTAAACCCTGAAACAAACCAGCACATAAATTAGAGTCATTTCGGGCCTTGTGCAACGGGCTGGCACTCGGGCCGAGGAAGGCACCCAGGCCCGTCGCGGCCTGCGCGCCCAGGAGAGGCGGCCGGGGAGGGAGGCTCCTGGGCTTGAGCCACTGCAGGCTCGCGAGGGCCTTTCTCGCCCACGGCAGGTCACCTCCGCCCGCTGTCGAGCTAGAAGCCAGGGCAGGGGTCCAGGCCGCTGCCTGCCTCTTGGGGCCCCTGACACGAGAATCATCCATGAGCTCTTCTCAGTCCATCCCACACTCCCTTGCCGGGCTTCCAGGGGACAGGCAGAAACCCCCCGAATGCCTGAGCTTGGTCATGGCAGGAACGTTCTCTAAAGTTATGAGTGTGGAGGCAATTCTTGGGTGGAGAGTAGAAGAAAACGTCACGTAGCCGAGGAGCCCCACGCACCACCTCGCTTCTGAGGGCTTAACGGCGCTGCGGGGCCAGCTGAGAGGGAAGGCGCCCTCTGGGTAGAAACGCTGCTGGCAGACTCCCCAGCCCTGCAAACCCGGGGTCACGCGGTGCGCCCCAGCCTGCAGGCGCGCTCGTGTAAGGCCTGCGTGTTTGCTCGGCGACCTGAGGGCCTGTGTCTGCTCTGTAGGTTCCGCAGCCATGCGGGAGAAGGCCCCTCCCGTGCAGTCCCTGCTGCTGGCCGGGCCGCCTGGGGTGGGGAAGAAGATGCTGGTCCACGCCATCTGCACGGAGACGGGGGCCAACCTGTTCAACCTGTCCGCGGCCAACGTCGCCGGGAAATACCCCGGCAAGAGCGGCCTCCGAATGATGCTGCACTTGGTTCTCAAGGTATTTATTCCATCCTTGGTTCCTGGTTCTCCTCCCTCTTTCAAATTACATGGTCAAATCCTGCACTTAATTTCCGTGAGCACAGTCACTTGCAAATAATTTCCTTCGGCTGACATGAGCGTCCCCCCCAACCCCCCCGCCTCCCCCCATAAATTACTTCAGCATTGCATCTGGCTGAGCACCCGACAATTAGAAACACCATCTTCCTCTGCATAAACAGCTTATTGTGCCGTCCAGCTCAGCCTCCTTTGGCCAAGAAGCCCTCCCTGAGGTGCTCGTACCCTCACTGGAAGTCCAGTATGTGACTCCATCCTCAGCCTGCTCCCCTCCCTGGGAGCCCTCGGACCCCTGGTGTCGGGCATCTTTCTCACATGGCGGGGTGCAAAGTGACATGCACATCCCGAGTGCATGTCCCCCCACCCCATGCTCTGATGCTGTAGGGGAGGCCCCAGGAAACTAAACCGGCCACCACTGAGGCATTGGTGAGGGCAGGGGCAAGGAGCCCTGAAGGCGCACACTGCCCGCCCTGGGCCTGAGAGGCTCGTGCTGCTCTGAGCCTTCAGCGTGTTGATGCCAGAGCGAGCGAGCCCAGCACCCCCAAGGGCTGCATCAGCTCCAGAGGCAATGACTGCTTTGCGGGTGCAGGCGGTGATGGTGGTAAATGGGTGGTAGCAAGGTAGGTAAGTAGGTAGGTTGCTTGGCAGGTAAATGGGTGGGCGGGTGGGTGAATGGATGGATGGGTGGGTAGGTGGACAGACAGGCAGATACACGCAAACAGACAGATGCAGCGTGCATGGATAGAAAATAGATGCTGCAGACTCACGCACGTCCGTCCGAGGACCGCGAGCCGAGAGCGTTCTCACTCGGTTCTCATGTCCTGCCTTTGGGGCTAACCCGGCACCTGTTAGCACTTTATCTGAATCCCTCTAGTGCCCCTTCAGCAATGTCTCTTGCTTTCAGCCGTTGCTGCGGGTCTCATGGCCGCTGTCAGCCTCTCCCCTCTCACGCAGAGCTCACGTTGTGCCTTTCCACCCTTGCGAGGGCGGGCTCGCTTCCCGCCCTTGTCCTTCATGTCTGCATCCCACGCTGTCCGTCTAGAGACGCCGCTGGTGTTTGCTGTAAGGAGTCATCGTCTTGTAAAGAAACTAGGAGGGAACATGTAGGATTTTACTCTTGTCTACCTAGTTGCCACTTTCAGTCTTTGTTCCTTTGGTCCCTTCCAGTTTCTACGCGACCCGTTTTCTTCCAGCTGAACTTCCTGCAGCGTTTCCCTCGTGCAGGTCCACTGCAGCCAATGGCCCTAGTGCTCGTGTCAGTTATTTTTAAATGCCTTCACAGTGCCTCTGCGGCTGATGACTATTTGGGCTGGATACAGAGTTCTGGACTGGCGTACTTTTCTGTCAGCGCTTTAAAGATGGCATCCATCGTCGGCCGCCGGTGTTTCTAATGACGTCGTGGATAGCTTGACCCATCTCCTTTGTGGAACGTGTCGTTATGTGGGTCTGAGATTTTCTCTGGATTTGGGGTTTTGGTTTTATCGGTTTGACTGTGATCTACCTAAGTGTTGTAATCCTTTGTATTAACCACTTGGGGGTCACTAGACTCACTGAATATTTAAATGTTTCAAATTTGGGAAATTGGATCATTGCTTCCTCATGTATATTTTCTGCCACCGTTTTTCTTCTCTCCTCCTAAAGCTCCAATTATATAAATATTTGACTATTTGATATTGTTTTGTAGGAACTGAGAGTCTATTAATTTCCAGAAATTGTTTGATAATTTCTATTAATCTGATGGAAGTTTACCTACATTCTTCTACCATCTCCAATATGCTAATAAACCCACCTGGCAGATTTCTTGTCGTATTCCTGATAGTTTGGTGGCTTTTCAGTGCTAGAATTTAAATTTATTTTTATAGACTTTCATTCTCTGCTGCAGTTCTCCATCTGCTCATTTAATACGACTATTTTTTCCTTTAAGTCTTGAACTGAATCGTTGTAGTGCTTTATAGTTCTTATGTGCTACTTCCAATGCGGGGTCATTTTGGGACTTTCCTTGAGTATGTGTCACACGTTTCTGTTTCTTACATGATTGATAATTGTTACCGTACGCTACACGTTGCAGGCCATGTGCCACGACACGCTGAAGCATGCTGGGCTTTGTTCTAAAGACAGCTCGGTGACTGGTTGATCAGCTTGAACTGCGGAGGTCTGGCTTTCCATTTTGTTAGTGGGAGTCGATTTTGACTTTGCCCGAGGTCCGTGGCAAATCCTGAGTCTTGAGACATGGTCTTTGAGGTTTCGCTGGAAAGTCTGAGGTCTTTAACAAGTTCCTCACACTTGGCAGAAGCTTCAGGTACGTGCTCAGTTCGTTAGTTTTCCAGCTGCTGCTGTCTCACGCCCTTCCTCCACATACACATGCTTCCAAGGTTAACCGAGGACTTGAAGACAAGCTGGAATTTGAAGCCCAGCATCCTGACTTGTTGTCTCCATCCACTTAAATTCTCCAGAGGAAACCAAAAGAAATCCTCCACCCTCTTGTCCAAATGACCCCTCAGTTAATTCCTTCAAAACATCCAATTTTGTTGACAATGTCAGGTGGCCAACGGACACACCTAAATACAAAAATGGCGGCATCAGCATCTATGTATCCCAGATGCTGTTCTATTCTTCTCTCTGTCTTAACTCTTCAGTCCTCACAACAACCTGAGGAGGTGGACACTGTCGTTCCCGTTTTACTGATAAGACACATGAGAAAAACGCATTTAAGTGATTGTCCTGGGTTGCAACACTGCGACGTGGACCTTCCCGCCCAGGCCCAGAGTCTGTAGGTTTAATGACAGTGTTATTCAGCCTCCGGCTGAGGTTCGGGCTGGACCAAGACTCTCCCTCCTACCCGTCCACTGACTCTGCGCTCCTGGTGTGACTCTGGGCCGGGGCCATGGCATGACCGAGGTGCTCCCGGCTCTGGAAACCGTCGGTTCTTACCTCTGAGAGGGTCTGACTGGAGAGCAGATCAGCATTTGCTAGCATTGTTGCAAGCTAACATCAGGTGGGTGTCAAGTGATCAGCATGCGGAACAGCACACTCGCCCACCGGGGCCGCTGGTGCCGCGCCTGGCACACACCTCATTAAGCCTCCCCCGCACCGTGTTTATAACTGATGAATGCAAGACCCACAGGTCCCAGGAGACGAGGCATCCAATTAACGACGTGTCCCGGTGTGACTGACAGACAGCTATCTGCGCTGCCAAGAGGGGTTGCTGTCACGAGCCTAAGGATGTGGCCCCCGTCCCTGTGCTGTGCATCCGTGTCCTCCTGTGTGTCCGTGGGAGCAGGGGCAGGGCTCGGCTTGAATTCAGCCCAGACCCGTGAGAACTCGCACAAGGGCCTGGGTCTGCATCGGGCTCTCATCACAAGTGCCCATCATGGGCCTGACCACGGGCAAGTGGGGCGCAGCCCTGAGTGCTGCTGTGTTTCAGCCCTGACCAGCACAGGCCTCCCCCACATCCCTGTCCATGTGGGCGCCCTGGGGGGCACATCCCCGGTTGTCTTTCTACCACAAACCCAAAACCACGCGTTGTTTGAGGGATCCCTTTACTGTTCACACAGCAGCTCTAATAGAACCTGGGGCGGGAGGTTAAGAAATGTGCTTTTTGTACAATAACCAACTATTATGTCAAATTCTCCTACTAAAGCTGTGCATAGAGAAGAACATGCCTCTCTTTAGTGAGGAAACATTAGAAATATCTCTAACAATTAAGAGCATGATGAGCAGCACCACAAATTCAGGACCACGAGGTCTCAAGGCACCAGCCTCACTTACGCGGCAGCAGCCCCTCGGGAGGAGGCGGCGGGCCTGTCCTGACCTCCGGCCAGGGGCCGGCCACATTCCAAGGAGTTTTGCACACATGTTCCCTTTTAGCTGTACCAAATTCCTGTTGAGGCAGGAATTAATGTCCCTATTTTACAAACAAAAAATGTTGAGGCTCAAAGTGTTCAATTTGGCCAAAATGCAGTGCATCGGGGCTGGCGGACGAGGGCTGGCGGCCTGGTTCTGCCTTCAAGGCTGTTCTGTGGTCGCAGCTGGCCTCTGGAGGGGGGGGGCAGGCAGACGCCCCAAGTCCAGCCTGCAGGAGCAGGCTCCCCGTGCCCATGGTGTCTGGGGGCAGGCCAGTCCTGGGCCAGCGTCAGCCAGGAACTTCCCAGTGAAGAGGAAGGAGCCCCCAAGTCCCGCAGCCTCGCCCACAGGACACCCCTCCCTCCCGCCCAGCAGCGCCCTCCCTAAGTGCCAGGCCATGTGAAAGCCAGGGCTGTCCTGCAGGACGGGACCCTCATCCTGTGCTCTGGGTCCTGAGGGAGCTGCTCTCTTTTCTTGGGGGGCTGTGTGCCCCCCTCGCCGCCTGTGCACTGGGGTCTGGTCACCCAGGCTGGCATGGGGGGAGCGGGGAGCGGGAAGAGAGGGGTGAACAGCCGCCTGGCAGCGCGGGGTCAAGGCCGCATGACCACATGAGCCGAGAGGGAGCCACGCTGTTGCTGAGGCCTCGGCACCACCTGCTGGGGCCCCTCCCGGGCTCAGTGGCCTCGGGCAGCGCACCAAGGGGGCCCGCCAGGCCCGGCGGGGGACACCCAGCATGTCCCCTCACTCAGGTGACTTCTCTCCTGGCCCGTCACCTGAAGACTGTGCAGCTGGTGACGCGTCATTTCTGAAAAGCACCGCGTGTAACAAACTTGCTGTCTCAGCCCCACCCTCACACGGCCACGTCAGTTAGGCTGTTTCAAAGACCTCCCCCGACCCCCAAAAAGCAGAGCTGCAAGAGAGACAGAGGCAGAGAGAGAGACACGGAGACCAAGATGGAGCCTGAGAAGGCGGGAGGGAGAGAAGCCCTGGGCCGCGTGGGGCCACGTGGGGCCGCGTCGGGTGTGGAGGGTGAGCGCCCAGCGGGCTGGCGAGTCATCAGGATCGGGTCCCGGCTCTGAGTCCTGAGGCAGTTTCAGGTGG